GACATCCCTGTACACAGTGAGGAGGGGTGGGGGCTCCCAGGGCTCTGGCTGGTCCATAAAGAGGGCAGCAGCAGCAGGAGTAGGATGTGGTTTCTCTGTCTCTGATTTCCTGTGCTCTCATCTCCATCCTGCCTGGTGAGGATGGTGGTTCCCTGACCTGCTGCTGTAGAACACCTCAGACCACTGGGGCTGCTCATGGTGCTGCTTTTGCCTCACTGTAAGGAAGGCAAGTCTGCTGTTCCCAACTCCTTAACTTGGTGGCTTTTCCTCTGTCTCAAGCTCTCCTAATGCCCTGCCACTGCCTGGAGGTGACTGAGAGGGGGATGGTGTGGGACCCCTCACTGGTTATGGGAGATCTCTGAGGCTTGAAAAATGAGCATGTTGCCTTTAGGCAAAAGGTTGCTTTTAAGTCTGTCTGTCAGGTACTGCAGACAGAATCCTGGAGCTTTAAGCTTTGGTCTTGTAAACAGGAAAAGTTTTTTTCCTGTGGCTGCTGTTGGGGCTGGCAGGACCTATGCTGAGGTGCTGAGCTCAGCTGGCTTTGTCTTCCCCAGCTCAGTCTAACCACAGAGCCTCTGTGATTCATCCGGGCTCAGACTTTGACTTTTGTACACTCCAGCAGTCAAATGCTGATGGCTTTAAGGATTAAAATATCTCTGGGCATGTGGCACACTGGGCTGGCAGTCAGATACTATGAGTGCTGCTTTTCCAAGGAAGAAATAGGTGTTGAGACTGGGATAGCTGAGCCTGCTGTGGGGGAGAAGAGCCAGGAGGCAGGCAGGGAACAGTCAGACTAAACGACGATTAACTAAAGATTTTGAGAAGGTCAAAGAGATAGAAATGTTTCAAAGGCTGGAACAAGCGGTGAACTACTTTCAGGGTAGCTAAGGAACAGGAGTAGAGTAGCCTTGAGGCAGATAAAAGCTGTGCTGTGTGTACTGCCTTATCTTGGGCTCTGCTTGGGCTTCACATTCTTGGAATTGCTGCAGTGATTGCCTGGATGGGACCAGAGCCACAGCTCCCAGCACCTGAGGCACTGCCCCACACACCCTCTCATCTGCCCTGGCACACTCAGCAAATTATCCCTTTGCACAGCACTGTGCAAACCCTGCCCCACAGCCCTGCTGTGTCCCGTGGAGGATGCACCCAGGAGTAAATGCCTCACGAGCTGAGCAGAGCTGAAGGAGGTGTTACCACAAGGCACAGAGGAGTGGGATAACCTTGTCCACTGTTTTTTCTGGGGTGAGGTCCTTTGTTAGAGCTCTATCACTGGTTTAATTTGGTAGTTCTTAGCCCTCCAGTTCCCAAATCTGCACACAAGGGTGGGAGAATCACCCATGGGTCTGGAGTGATGCCACCCCTGCTCTAATTGTGGAATTGCTAAGGTTGGAAAAGTCCTTTAAGATCATTCATCAACCCACGGTGTTCACCACTAAACCATGTCCTCAAGTGCTACATCCACATGTTTTTGAACACTTCCAGGGATAGGAACTCCACTACTTCCAGGCCTTCAGGCAGTCACTTCTCATCTGCCTTTACCAGGTGATAACAGAAGTGAGACCATGAAAGAACAGACACAAATGGCTTTAAACAAAGACTGATGTATTTGCACTAGACTAGCTGATACAGAGGACGCCTGAGGGATGAATGGTCAGTCTCAACAGCAAATACAAATATCTTTTATTTAGACAAAACTCACAAAGGATAGACACACTTATTTTGTGGTATTGCTGTGCAAAACCTGAAGTGGAATGCACAGGCAGCTCCATCCCTCTCTTCCCAACCCCTTTTTTTTTGTGTATTTAAAAACAGGAAGACACAAGCCAGTTTAAAAAACAGAACCTGCAAGGCAGCCCAGTGATAACCAAGTGCAAACAAAGCAAAGGGAGCTCACCAAAGGGGGTTGATTCACAGTGAACCCACGTTCTGAGCTCTGAGATAGATCTCTTCAACCTCCCCTTCAGACAAACTGCTAGGACTGCTAGTTTTGATGTTACAGGGGGGAAAAAAAGTAAATAGAGCAAACACAGAGAAAAGATCCATTCCAAAATCCCCTCTGGGTATGACAAGAAACTGGCCACAACTGAGACAAAATGGAAAGGGTTGGTTTTTTTTCTCTCACTTTGGTGCAAGTTTATTTATTTCGTACACTATCCATCCGTACACCTGTGATACAAATCTATGAACCTGCCACAAAGCATTAAAGCACAACATACCTATTATTCTGTAGACATCTGCATTTTTAACCACCATCCAGCCCTCATGGATCAGCAGGGACTCCACACAGGAACCTGTGGCTCTAAAAAAATGCAGCTGTCTGGTAACCGTACGTACACGAGGGAGGGGAGAGCAGAGATGTTCACTGTTAGGGAACATGGCTCAAACCTTCAGGTTAATAAAAAAAAATTACATCCCTGGAAGAGCTGGGTGAGGAGGAGTTCTGTAAAGGATCCTGTAAACTCATTTCATACAGTAAAAGCTAAGCCTGCAGGCTTTCTGCTCTGTGGAGGGTGGGAGGAAGGATAGAGGAGGACTCACTGTCTTGCAGTTGCTGTGTCTTGCAGGGCAGTGCCAGGAGCTGTTGGCAGGTTAGACAAACTTACTGGAGTACCTGGAGTGCTGTGCACAGGGGAAGGGAATGCTCTGCACCCTCCACTGGGGTTCCAAGAGGGTTTTTCCAGCTAGGAAGTTTTCCAACCAGTGATTGGAAACAGCTCTACTCCTGAGCCATGGATGTGGCTGAATTAAAATATGACCTATTAAACGCAGTCACGAGAGGAAGTCGATGTGGCAGGAAACACAAAACACAAAGACAATGCTATTTGTTCCACAGTTCCCTCTGAGGCTAGAAAACCTGTTAACTTTGAAAGCCCTAGAAAAATGCTGCTCTGGTTTAGAAACCAACTACTTGGCATAGGACCACATTTGTTTTTTTTTGCACACGAACATTTCCTACATCTCCTCGGGTCTGCATTAAGCGTTTTGCATCTCTTTGCCAATCTTGTAGCTGAGGATTTTGTTCCAGTCAATCTTGGTGCGGGTGACAGGCAGCTGCCGGCGTAAGGCTTTGAAAGTGGTGTCTGACATGGTCTGGTAGTTTTCACTGATTGCTGTCTGCAAGGCCAAGCAGGTTTAGTTAGGGCACTCCTAAAAAAGCTCAGCTCAATGTTCAAACCATAAACCCCTTTGGACAAGGTGAGGGCACACTATTAACTAAGCTAACAATGCAGTCACCACTGTGTGTGCAAGGAAGGTTTCTATTCTCTCTAGTCTCCTCCCCTGTGGCTGCAGCAGCAACTCCTTAGGTGTTTCACTCACTTATCTCTCTCCAGTCTCTTTGCACTCAGGCTGGGACAATATAAAAAGCTGTTGCACAAATTTCCTCTTCTGCATTGACAGTCACAGAGGAAAATACTTTGAGTCACCCCCTCCCCTCCCATTCTTGTCCCAGGCAGCATTTGTGACCCTTTAAAACAACTATAAAGCAAACTTGATTATGAATTAAATAGCTTTACAACTATACTCTTGAAACAAATACTACTGCCCTTTTCCATGCAATTTTTACTCAACACCAGATTCAGACAGAAACAGGATCAGAGGTCAGTTTTCCATGTTTCCCTTAACTGTAAATTCAGACTGATAAGACTATGATTGATTTAACCATCATTTATCTTACCTGGTACTCATTTTCTGCATTTTCTATGATCTTAATAAACTCCTTAGCAGTCTGGACATCACTCTGCAAAGGGGAAAAAATACATTTTTATACGTTTAAGAGGAACCTACAAAAGCTCCATCATAAATTTCTTCTCAAGTGCTAGTCTGACTACAGCTGAAGTGGGTAACACCAGCAGCTCGTGCCTCGTGTTTGTAGCTGTGCTCCTTTTACTTGCTGTGCACTGGGTAGAGCAAGTTCTGCAAACTGGAACAGGGCTGCACCCTAGTGAGCAAAAGGGAAGTGGATCTTCACGGGTAAATGAGGAATTTTGCAGCTGTTGCTCCCTCTACTGTACTACAGGGTTTAATTTCCAGTAGTATATTTCTCTTACAAGCTGCTTGTGCTATTTTGAGGGATTTGGACTCATAAGTTTCACATGGTCTTGCACCAAGGAGGCACCAAAGCCATGCAGTTATCTGCAGAATACTTCAGGAAACTCCACCAACCATGTCCTGGGCTCTGGCCAAGCTCCAGCCTTGGGTAGTCAGAGGGGAGAACCACCAGGGATTTTCCACATCAAACCAAGACAAATACAGGTTATTTTTAGCCTATTGATTTGGCCCATAAAAGCTGGAGCCTCTGGCAGTGACTTTGGGTGCCTCAGCTCTGAGTGGACACACTGTGTAGGACTTCCCAAGTGCTGGGAAAGGCTCTCCAAACCCTCCCTGCACCCAGGGGCTCCCCAGGGACTGTGGGTCTGGATGGTGATGGAGTATTGGGGCAACTGGGGATGTATCTTTCTCCATCACTCTTCCTTCCTGTGTGTAGTGATGATTAGGTGCATCACCTTGCTCATTTCATTTGCAGTCTGTGCTGAGTGAATTAGGGCTTTGCAGGCTAACCATGTAAGTAATTGTGTTTCTTTTTCCTGTTTAAACACCAATAGTAAAATAAGCTTATTCTTTTTGTTGGTACCTGTGCCATTTCTGTTGCCCCTGTCAATTGGCACAACACCTGCATGCAGACAGAAAAGCATATTCTGTCCTCTTTAACCCAAAATCCTAAAAGAATCTTTCCAACAGAGACTTTCTAATAAGGTCAAACTGGGATTCCCACGGGACTGTAAACACTACACTGACTATACACCCCAAAATTACTTCAAAACCAGAGACTGCAGCCCATAGCAGTGTATACTCAGTGAGCTGTACAAGGAATAAAACAGTGGCTTATCATACTTACTGACACCTGTACAGAGTCCTGGATGTCCTTGTGACTAACCAGCTGGACGTTACCATCCTCATAGTAATGAACCTGGCCGAGGAGACAGAGTGCAGGTTATCATGACCACTCACTCCAGAATCCCTAGAGCCCCCAAAGCTACCAGCATGGCACAACAGCAGTGCTGTGCCAGACTTCTCTGCTTACGTGGAGACTAAAAGCAGGATGGATTTTCTAAAAGGTTTCATTCTTTGTCAAGACTGTTCAAGATTATGTTAATGCAGTAAACGCCTAGAGTTGAGATAAGAGCAATTATAACAGATTCAAGGTAGAGGTTTTAGCCCTATAAAGTGAAGAAGGCTTGGAGGCCTAGAGGGTAAGGCTACATAATAAACCACAGGGCAGACTATAGATATTAGATCTGGGAATTCACTTCTGGATTAGTTTAGTAGCATCCTGACTTGAGGAGGACATCTCTGCTGCATTTCAGCATCTCATTCTGGGCTGAACACATCTGTGTGAGAGAAGCACAATGCAGCTCCTCCTGTTACTGCCAGGAAAAGTAACTCACCTGGATTTTGAGCACTGCAGCCACTTGAGCTGTTGGTGGTGTGATGGTGAACTTCCACTCTGATCTCCAACGCCCGTTCCTAAAAACAACCAAACAGGAAACCCATTTCCCAAAAGCTCTGACAACAAATAGAACCAAACTAACAAGTTGTCTCTGATGTTGTCCAATGACCAAGATTACAGTGCTCTACATGGCATGGAGTTAAATTTGTGAAGCACAGCTGAATGCAATGAACCTTCAGTACAGAACAGCTCCAGTGCTTGTGCACTGGAACATGGAAAGGGATAGCTATCCAGCTCTGTCAATGCCTTTCCCTCTGGAGAGGTCACATGAAGGTTTTAGGGGGCTGCAAGGAAAACAGACTGCAGAAGGAGAAGCAGAACTTCTTGGGAAGCCCAAGACTAGCTGCTCTTCAGCCTGTGTCAGACAGAGGATGGGCTGGTTTGAGGACTAGCAAAGGAATACAATACACTACATTGAAAGTCTTACCAGAAGTTTTTGGGCTGGAACTGGTGGCTCTCAATACAGGCAATAATTGTCTGCTGCCCATCTATAGATTTACCATAAACCTGTATTTAGAAACAGAGTTAAAAAGGCTCAAGAGCTGAGGAAAATCATTCTTAACTTCTGTTCCTGTTGTAACACTTGTAACTTTTGTTGTAACTGTTGGAACCCTGTGGAGGCTGCTGGTGTGGTACCTCACTAGTTACAACACCTCCACTGGTAGGTATTTTATTACCTGCAGGTGTTCAGGTGCTTGGCAGTCATGACTATGAAAATCAATGCCTAGTTCATCTTTATCACTGTGTGCACACCAAACCTGCACCCTCTTTGGAACTTTTTGTTCCAATTTTAGCCATGACGCTAGTGAGGATGGAGAATTCCAACAGCTCTGCCCAGCACAAAGTCCACTCCAGGACTGACTAACTTTCAGGGAAACAAGTGTGGATACTCAACAGTACAGAAGCCATTGGGGTAATGATCTTTCACATAGGCTCTCAGTGCACTGTCACAGGCATCTCTCCATTGCTTCAAACCAGACTCTGTGTCCTCGGGCTGGGGGTCACTTGCTTCTTTCCTTAGATGATCAAACTTGAAAGAAAGTTTGTTCCTTGGGTCTAAAAATCTGCCATTGCCCAGATCACCGTGCTCTGTGATTAAGACCTGTAAAAGAAGTTGAGATGAAGATACATTTAGGCTGCTAGAAATGTGGCATTTTGCCCTGTTTGGATATCAATGTTTCAAAAGATTCTTTCACTGAGTCATAGTATCTCCTAGGGATTTTCAGTAACAATTTCAACAGTTGTAGCGGGGCTGAAGGTAACTCTCTGCTCTCCTACTGCACTAAGACTTACATCCCAGAAAAGGCTGAGTCATGCACATATTGAGCTTAAAGTGAGGCATCCTTACAATACAAACAGGTGGGTTTGCTTTTAAGGTTCTTTTTGCTGGTTTCCTTCCCTATTGCTAAAGAAAACAAAGAATTTTCCTCTGCGTTTTACCCTTTATTGTCACGTTTTATGTTGCAATAGTTTTCCTTCTGGTTCCTACTTCTAAAACACACCAAAAAACCAGCATTGTGCATTTCCTCTCCTTTCTCTTACCCACCATAATTCTCTGCTTTCCCAAGCATTGCTGGAGTGGGTGTTTTTGTAGCTTGTACTGTAACTTTCTCCTGTCAATGCTATTTCTATGGACAGCACTCTTAAAAATATCTGCCTCCCATGAACATATCTGGGACACCAGGAAAGCTAGGTCAGTGCTTGGCTCAGAGAACAGAACAGATGGTCAAAGCTTTTTAGCTTCTCTGTGACTTGCTGCTTGTTCCCAAAAAAGGACTAAAAAAAAGGAAATTGTTTTGCTGGCATAGATTGGATAGAATTAGGGATAATCATTGTACCAAATCAATGATTTGTTATCATCAAAGGTATAATATATCTTTCAGGACAGCTGGAAATGGATTAAAAGTGCAAAAAAAATGAAAAACTGTTAAGAATCTACTATGAGCTGTCAGTAGGAAGTGTAAGCAAGAGGCAACATACGGATTTATAAGTGAGCTTTAAATAGACAGTAATCTTTAATCATTCATACTCCACATGGAATTCCAGTGACTCTGGCATGGAACTTTAAGGAACAATGTTACTAGGGAATATCAGACACCACTTCAAAAAGAACATTTCACTTCTGCTTTTTCTGTGAGAACAAAAGGTTGGTAATGTAATGATGTGAGGGGGAGGGAGAGGTGGTAACTTGTGAGGAGAAGGAGTGAGTCAACTCGTTGATATTGACTTGTGAGTCAACCTCTTGATGAAACCACACTTTGATTGTTTTCTGCATGGTGCAGTAATAGAAACCACAAGTGTACAAAGTTTGCTCTTACCTGGTCATCATACCCTTCTATCTTCACTGGAGTGAACTGATCCATGTTGTACTGTGCAAATGCACTGTTAAGGATGAGAGGAACATCAGCTTTAGCTGTACACATGCACATTTGTCTGGCCTCAAGAATAAGCACATGGTGTGATTTATCTCAGAGAAAACTTCAACTCCATTGGGCAAATAACACACACAAGTGACCTCAAAGGGTGTTTCCACACCTTTTATTGTTGATAGCTATAAACTGTGTTTGTTTAGTGGTGACCAGGAAAGTACAGAGTTCAAAAGTAGAACAGCTGGCAGCCTGGAGGAATGTGAACAAGCCAAGGCAAAGCAGGAACAGCCCAGCTACAATTCAGACAGCAGCAAGGTAAACAAATGAGCAGGCTAATATTTACAGCAATTTTCTCATGTAAAGAGCTGCTGGCTGACATGTCACCTAGCTCGAAGTGAGATCTCAGCATCAAAAAGCTGGTGTGTGTAATCTTTAAGCACCTTCTGATGAGGCTGTGGAAGTAAACAAGATATTTTGAAAGCTTTTTATTGAGGGCACTTCTTCTGCTAAACTCAGGCTACGGATTACTCAGTATTTCAGGCTTCACTTGCTCTGCACATCATGCTTTAACACAATCAGCCCCTCCTGCTGCTGCAGAGTTGAACTTTTTTGGCAGAGTGCCTTCCTGTCAGTTTTACACAGCACCAACCCCAATTCAGGGCTTTAAAAAGACTCTTCCATGCCTTGTATTATGCATTTTGTAAGGGGGGTGAGGAATCACAGAAGATTTCTCTCCACACAGCAAAGGGCTCTCTGTGTCACAGAATGACGGGTGAAAACATCAGAATCTCTGATGGGAATTTGAAGTCTCAGTACTTACTGTGCTGCTCCTTCCCTGAGGAGATTGTCATTGTTGAGCAGTAACCGAACATCTGCAGGAGAGAGGGTTCAGGTGGGTTATTGATTCGATTTTATTTTGGAGCAAATGTTTCTCTTTATGCATTTCATTTTCAACTGTACAACAGCAGACACTAAGCTGATTAAATCATTTCATGAAGCAGATGTAGTCCAGAATGAGAACAAGCTTTTCCTAACCACCTCTTAACCTTAAAAATGTGACACAGCCTTGGATTTTTGTAACAGATAAAACGTAAGAAAACACCACAGATCATTTCTTCCTTATTTACTTACCATTGAATACTTCATTGAACTCCCCAGGGGGGGCATGAGTGATGAATTTTGCAGCTATACGCACCTACAAGGAACAGAGAAGTAATTAAACTACAGACAAAAGATAATTTACTCAGTTCATATATACTGAAGCAAAGTACATTGAAAACCAACTCTGCCAGGGATAGGAAGTGATAGATTTAGGAAGAAATCTAGGCATACATTGCCAACATAGGAATAGTCTCATAAGATTATTCAAGGCCAAATTGGAGCAACCTGGACTAGTAGAAGGTGTCACTGCTCATGGGACTGGATAATCTCTGAGGTCCCAACCCAAAACATCCTAGGATTCCATGAAGATCAGATTTTCTTTAGTGTGACAATAATTCTAATGTGCTCAGGAAGTGCAAAGGGCACCTGTAAAAGTGTGAACTGTTTGACCTGCACAGTCCTAAGCTATTTAAGGACTAGAAATGCTGACCAGGCACTTTTTCTTGGTGACATTCCTAACCAATGCTTTTCCCTGATCCTGACTAAGAAACCATTGCAGTAAAAGTGACACTGTAACTATGTGGTAACCTACAGCACACCCACACAGCTGAGGAGTGTCTGACATACTGCAGGTCACTCTGATTCCCTGTGAGGCAACTTGTTTGCTACCGAGCTGAAAGAGAAGTCACTGCTCCACAGGAAACAGCACGTGAAGGATGAGAGGCTGATCCCCCTGGGAATGGAGCAGTAAATCAATGACAGGAATGCTTCCAGAGTTAATGATGCCCCATGGACTCTGCTAAGCCACTGATGTGCTCAGAGTGCTGAGGGTGGTGTGGAGGTATGAAGGAAAGAGCTGAGAAGTGGCAGAAATGGGGGAAGTGATGGAAAGTGCACAAATGAACCAGAGAAGTCAGACAGAGCCTTCAAATGGAACCACCCAAATGGCAGCAGGTGGTAGTTTGGGTTGGTTTTTTTTATCCTCTAATGCTGCCCATGTCACTCCTAACCACGTTGCTCCTCTCACCTCCTACTGCACTGTAGTCCAGCCATGAACTGCCAGAGCAGTGTAGGAATTCATGTGGAACTCTGAGTGATCCAATAAATAACTGACAATGCCAACTTTAAAGCTGGAAAGGAAAAACCCACTCTCTTCTAAAGCAGTAATAAAACTGAACTGTGTCCTGAAATTCAATATACATGACTTGCACTGTTAGAATTTAGGTGGTCCAGGTATTGATTCTGTTGAAACTAGGAAGAGTTTATGGTTTTCATTATCAAATCTTTTATGGCTTTTACAGGACCAAAGGGAATAGAATCATCTTGGAAGAAATGAAACAGGAAATGTCACAAAATTAAACCTCTCCCTTAGAATAATAAAAATGTCACATTTCCTCTGATAAGCTCCAGCTAACAGAGCTGAGCAATGAGCTTCTCCTGCCCAAAGAGATGTTTATGGAAGGTGTCTGCACAACAGTGCTCATTACCACTCTGATTACTTTCTACTTTTCATTTTGAGCAGCAAAACAAAGGATTGTGTGTGTATATATATCCAACTGCTTCAGCTGAGTTATTGCCAGAGCTGGAAATAACTTGCTTCTCTTAACAGTCCTCCCTGTTTTAATTAGAAATTGCTGTTTGTATTGTTTGTCACAGAATGATTTAAAGCAAGCCCTGAAAGGAAATAAACACCTTGCCAAACAAAGGGTATATTGCCTTATTCCAAGGGGATCAAGTAACAGCTCTGCCTTAACTGGATTGAGCTTCAGATAAAAATAGATCATCTTCCAAATTAGCATCCATTTCAAAAAATAGACATTCTTTGTGCCTGAAGTAATTAAGCAACACAAAGAGAAGATTTAAAAGGCAGCAACTCGTGTAATTGATACAGTACAGAATGTCAAACCATTTTCTCCTGATTTTTCAGGATTTAGGTTGGGAAGGACACAACAATCCTAACAATGGAGCTTGAAAATTTCCCTGTTTAAAGAGCTGTAATTAGGGACACATCCACAATCTTGTTAAGATTTCCCTGTCAGAATTTGGGAGGTGCTGCAGATAGCCTGGCAGTAATTAAGAGGGACCTTGCTGCTCCATATCCTCTGTGGACTTTGCTGAGACACAGCCCTAATAGGTTTCTGAAATGACACCACGTGCTTTTCTAAGCAAGTGTAAGCACCAGCACAGGCATATCACTGTGCTATAGCTCTCACAGAGATCTACCCCTCAGGCCTGGATGTCTCTCAGTGGGAGAACTGCACTGGAATTACACCTTCCAAATCAACTCCCTGGGTGAACAGACTCTCTTCTACAAGGTGCTTCAACAGATGGAAAAATAAGCCCCCTAAAAAGCCATAAAAATGAGCATCTTCTACATCCATGCAATGATTTTGTGGCCGTAGAACTGTCCATGAAACCCTCATAAAAGGAGTCAATTGTAACAGGGTGAATTCTAGATGACTAAAAAAAATCCTGGTGGGGAAACAGAAACAACAACCAACCACAAAATCCCCCAAGTATTACATGAGAGGTTTGTACAGTCTCCCAGAAATTCTTCCACTCGGAAGGATGAACAGTATAAAATCACCACAGAAAGGCCTGAAATGTTGTTTACAAAGCCAGTTCTGCAGAAAGCAAAGGCTGCAAGAGGGAAGTGCCCACATTATCCCTTGCACTGCCTCTCGTGGAGCAATGAAATAGAGAACATTTCAGTCAATCTACTGAAATGAGGAGTGGAGAGCACAGAGCAGGGTGTGGAGTGATGAATCTGAGGCATCAAGCACTCGAATGCTGCTGGTTTCAGAGCTGGTCTCTGCAGGGCTGTGGCAGGATGTTCCTCTGCAGAAGCACCAAAATAAGACTTTCTGCAATCTGAGCCACTTCCTGGCCACCGAGGCCATTTCAGGTGCCATTTCAGCTCTGCAACATGAACTTCCTGCTTCTAAAATGGGGAAAGTGTCCGAGGGGGAGGGAAACTGCTCAGCCCTTAGTTTAACCTAAATGGCAGTGGAATGAGCTTGAGTGGATAACAAGGAAGGTTTCAGAGGACCTCAAGCTAAAATCATGGAATCTTAAAATGGGTTGAAAAGGATCTTAAAGCTCATCCCATCCCACTCCCTGCCATGGGCAGGGACACCTCCCACCAGCCCAGGTTGTTCCAAGCCCCATCCAACCTGGCCTGGAACACTCCCAGGGATGGAGCAGCCACAGCTTCTCTGGGCAACCTGTGCCAGTGCCTCAGCACCTGACAGGGAGGAATTCCTTCCCAATATCCCATCTAACCCTACCCTCTGTCAGTCTGAAGCCATTCCTCCTTGTCCTGTCACTCCAGACCCTTACCCAAAGTCCCTCTCCAGCTCTCTTGGAGCCCCTTTAGGCACTGGAAAGGCATAAAGCGACTTGCAATTGAATCAAGGCTTCAGTTATGTGCTAAAAAAATATCAGTTCTGTTCTGGAATACTTATTTCAATCAATATCACGTAAAATAGTGACTGAAGGATGAGCTGCACCTTTAACTCTGCTTGTTTCACAATGAGACTGTAATGAGACTGAAAAGAGAAGTTTAAGGGCAAAATGGAAGCAGGCTCCAGACTTGTAAGATCCTTGAAGATCTATGAACCTTAACAGCTCCTCCAGAATGTTCAGAGACAGAGCAAAAAGCTACATGTAATACTTTTACGCTGCAAGATTTTTTAACTGGTGGATTTTTTTAACTACTGTTTGCAGGTAACAAGTGTTTGGGGAGCACAGCACCTTAGGGACATGTTGGTAATTGGATGATTTGGGAAAAGAAGCAGAGAAAAGATATTTTCAAAGAATCACATAATCACTGAGGTTGGAAAAGGGCTCCAAGATCAAGTCCAACCTGTGACCTATCACCACCTTGTCAACTAGACCATGGCACTAAGTGCCACCTCCAGGGCAGGAACACCTCCAGGGATGGTGACTCCACCACCTCCCTGACCAGTGGCTAATTCCAATTATTCCAATGCCTAATCACCCTCTCTGAGATGAAATTCCTGCTCATGTCCCCCCTGACCCTCCCTGGGTGCAGCTCAAGCCTATACCCATTTTGATGCACAATAGGGAAGATTTCAGGTGACCTTAAATTAAAACTGTGGAATCATAAAACAGGTTGGAATGGACTTGGAATTAAAACATGGGATCACAGAATGAGTTGGAAGGGACCTGAAATTAAAATCATGAAATCAAGGCACCTTGAATTAAAAGACTGGAATCACAGAATGGGTTGAAAGAGACCTGGAATTAAGAGATGGGATCACAGAATGGGTTGGAATGGACTTTGAATTAAAAGACTGGGATCACAGAATGAGTTAGAAGGGACCTTAAATTAAAATTATGAAATCAAGGCACCTTGAATTAAAAGATGGGATCACAGAATGGGTTGGAATGGACTTTGAATTAAACTATGGGATCACAGAATGAGTTGGAAGGGACCTTAAATTAAAATAATGAAATTAAGGCAGCTTGAATTAAAAGACTGGAATCACAGAATGGGTTGAAAGAGACCTTGAATTAAGAGATGGGATCACAGAACGGGTTGGAATGGACTTTGAATTAAAACATGGGATCACAGAATGGGCTGGAAGGGACACTGAATTCAAATTATGGAATCGAGGCACCTTGAATTAAAATCATGGAATCACAGGATGGACTGGAAAGCACCTTAAATTAAAATCATGGGATTACAGAAAGGATTGAAAGGGACTTTGAATTAAAAGACTGGGATCACAGGAAGGGTTGGAAGGGACCTCGAATCAAACCCATGGGATCACAGGGTGGGTTGGAAAGGACCTTAAATTAGAACCATGGAATCAAGGCACCTCGAATC